CCCCAAAACCCCAAAACCCCAAAACCCCTTTCTCATCTCAATGAGTTGAAATAATTTAATCTAATTGATAGTGGAATATGAATTCCTTGTATTTTGAACATTAGAGTTAATTCTTTTGCTCAACAACTGCTTATTCTGTGAAATAATAAACTCAATGCTAGTCTTACTAGCCTGTGATATTCTTGAGCTATAAATTTAAGCATACTCTTACGTATTAATCATCATTGGATCAATCTTAGCATGACTGGTGCTAAACTTTTCCCCTGTATGATAAAATTTATTGCTGGATGTATTCAGCCTTTTCTTTATCATTTTCGTATTCAAATATTCATTTTGGAAAGAATCTGATGAAACATCAGGTAAGAATCTATATCCAGGTGCTTTATTTCTCTTTATTAGATCTATGAACATAACTAAAAATTTACTGCAAGATACTTTGGAGAGAAAGCTGTTCAGGATTATTTTTGCTATTTTTCTCTATAAATTGCTTCCATTTTGGATTTTTCTCAGAAGAAGCATCCTTATTGGATGCTTTTATCAATTTTCTAGGAGTAAACATCTTGAGAGCCCCGATAGAATTTCTTTGTGGAAAGCCGCTATGAGATGCTCTGGTCTGAGATCTTACAGGTTTGGATATTTTAGCTGCTAGTTTATTTATGTGCAGAAGGGGTATTGTTGTCTTCAGTTACCCTCTGTTCATTATAGTTCATATCCTTCAGCATAATATTTTCAACAAGAGTACGCCTCTTGGGAACTTGATTATACTGATTTATTTTCGGGGGAGAATCTATCTGCTTAGGGATATAAGCAGCAAATACTCTATTTCTAGAAGCTTGGTTATTAGCAGTTTTATTTTTATTCATTTTCTTTAAATCTTTGAAGAAGTATTTTAGTCTCAGAATTTCTCTGAAGGGTACATTTTGAGTTCCTTTAGGCATAGCAAAAGGCTGAGCAAGGGTAGTCAGCTCTTTACCTCCCAGATATCCCATATTGCTCTATGCTTTATTCAAGATATATACTTTGCAATGAGGATCTGAGGACTTAAACCTTGAGGTGTTTGCTCTCTATAAATCTATTTATCCAGTATACCTTTTCTTTTAAGTGTTTTTGAATTTTCTTTGTCCTGCACTTAACAATCGGCTTTGATTTAAATTTTAAATCTGAAGGAAGCTCTTTTACCTAAAAAGTGTCAAACCTTAATGAATTCAGGATACTCACATCTTGGTGGATGCCTTTTATTTGGCTATATAAATTTAGTTGTGATTTTAACTCTTTCCATCCCGTTTTATTTAAGATCAAGTATAGCATTAGCCTCTAACTCTCCTTTATGCTCATCTTTCCAAGAGCTTGGCTCTTTTAGATCTATCTGAATTGCAGATGAATTTTTCGAGGCAACTTTAGAGGTTATTACTACTACGTTATCTTTCTTAGGCTTTGAAGAACTGAATCAATTCTTTTCAGGTGTAAGATGAGAGGCCGATTTATTAACTATCAAGCTCTCTTTGTCTCATTCTGAGTTTATTCGACTCTTTTCTTTATAGAAAGGATTTGAAGATCCTATTATATTTATTTTGATAGAAGGTTGTTCTGGTTTATAATTAGCAAAATCGGAAGATCTTCTGAGATTTATCATATATTTTCCTCCATTTGAGTCACTTTTTATAAGATATTTCTTCTTTTTATTGTGCATTTAGCTAAATTGAACTGTTAAAACTTGTTGTTGTTTCAAAAGAGCACTCACCTTTGTGGAAAATATTAAATATTCTTTAATTTTACTAAATTCAACAAAGATTTTCTGATAAGGGGTTTTGGGGTTTTGGGGTTTTGGGG